TAAATCATAAATGATTAACATGTAAAAAGCAAAACACATTTATCTTGACATAACTGTCCGAGTTCTATTGTTACCATAACATGTCTCCCTTCACCCAAATCTCCTTAATTAATGCAGTGTCACAGTATAAGAGAACAAAGATTGTCCGTCCGAATTAACTGTGTTTGTACTGGCCCATTGTCTTGGCGTAGCTCGAGTTAATTTGTCTTAGTTAAAAGACTTAAATATGACTGCAGTGAGCCCGGCCAGTGTCCGGCGCGATATCATAGCTCTTAGAAGTATAAAGCCGGGTGCATATAGACAGGACGGTATAATTTAACCTACAAGGTTGTTAAAATTAACAGACTTTTAGGACATCATTATACTACTCGTATTCTCGTATTCTAAGGCTGAGTTGCACCATCTAACTTTAGCAGTAACTATAACGATAACCGGTGTTTTTGTGTGGAGTTTGACAGATTTTTGATGTTTGTTAAAGTAAGATGGTGCAACCCAGCCTTAGATTTTACTGAAAACCACGATAATAAACCTCGTTTATGTTGAATTCTTCAAAGGCTTGAATCTATTCTAGATAGTTCATGTTCATTGCATGTTGAATATCCTACTTGAAATACTATAATTTAATTACTTTTAAAAATGCAGGTAAAGGAAATATGTTTTTAACTTTCATGTATTTTTCGCACAGTGAGTACTCGGCCTAGGGTCTATTTTGTAAGGAGCTGAAACAGCTCCGTCCTCATGACAAATGAGTGATTGTTATGGGTCACTGTAAGGACGATAATCTTCAATTTGTTTGGGATATATTACAGCTGTACAAAAGGCAAAATGGTCGAGAGATGTCAGTTTAGAACGACAAATAGTGGTGATAAATGTACAAAACATTTTTAAGGTAATTAGAAGTTTAAAAGTACCTATTTGTTGAATTAATCTTAGAAAATGATTGATGAAACTTATGCTAAAAAGTCTTGGCCTAGTCGTTATTTGTACAAGCCACAGGTAAGCCTTAAAACCATTTAGTCCATTTTTAATTGAAACTTATAATTTCCAGTGAAGGTAACGTATTTTTTTACTTGAAATGGTCAAAACTATTTTATTTATTACACTTCGTAAATTGAATTTGTCGAGTACATGTTATTTAATATTCAATCGTTTACGGTTAATTACGAATGTAATTTTACTTCCTAAGTGGCATGAAAGTATGAATTTAGGTTTTGTTTGTTCATATTAAAATTCAAACTGGTTAAAACGTGCTTTTAGATAGAAGGATACTGTTTGTTTAGGTATCTAGGTACTTTCATATTTTTAAAAGCGTTACTACAATCAAAAACGTAAGCGAATCACGCGCGGCGGCGAGGATAAGCGATGCCTACATGCGCTGTTACAAAACCCAATTACAGAGTTTTAACGAACTGCAAACTGTCCCGAAAAAGTTCTCGAATTTTACTAATGATTACGTTAAGTCGTCGGGGAATCCTCGGGATGGAGCCTTAAAAATAAGTGAAAGAGTTGAGCTAACGGAATGAATATTTGCCGTGCCCGCATGTAGTTTAAATTGCGTTGCCTTTGAGTGGGGCACAAAGACGTCGGTTGATGCGAGGAACTTCTTCCTCGAAGTGAGCCAACAGCCTTTTTCAGACGCAAGTTTCGAAGTGCCGCCGCTCCGGACGAATCAAAAGCGTCAAAGTTGCCGACGAATTTGCTGTACCGAATTGAAAGTCGACTGATGACTGAGAACATTGTTCGGCGAAGTTTAGTTTTTATATACTTTTTGGTACAACCACTGTTTTAATAGGCGTCCGAGTTTATACAGTAATATTTTTTGCTATGGAAAACTGAGCAAGAAAAATTGTTAGGCACGATGAAAAGGGCCCAAGCTGGTTACTTACACTTTAATAGAACGTAGTAATAATATTTTATGTAAGTAGTTGTAATGAGGTGCTATTTTGCATTAAAATGCATACTCTGATTGCTATAGACTGGACTTTCAGTCACGGAAACTCGCGTAATAGCTGAAATAACGAATTCTAAAACTGTAAAATCAATAAGGTAAGGGAACATTTCCCTTTTCCACAGCATTGATATCTATTGATATATTACCACCAAGGATTTAAGTTCTAACCGTTTCATTTTTGCAATACATTTTCTCTCACCCTTGATGTAATGTTCCGGTTAGCTAACCACCTGTACAGGTAGGTACTACTATTTTCTATGCAATATGTAATCAGTATCCCTTCAAATTATCCAACGACTATTTCTCACACCATCTCAATAACCTACATATAACTTGCAAAGCAATCAGCCTAAGTACGCTTAAGAAACCGCATTAAGTGCGAGGTAGTTTAAACGTTAGGTACTCACCACCATTCAGCTGCACACCAAACACTTTAATAGTTGCCGGTGAACAGAGGGAAAGCACTCAGTTCGGGACCTCCCTGAAAATAAGTTTCCGTCTGAAACCTCAAAGGTACGGAACTCGGAAGAAAGGCACTCGTTCCCAACTTCCAAACGACCCACGATCAACTGATAGAGCTTCCTGTATTTGCTCCCATGATTTTATTAGCTTTAGTACTCGTTAGTAGATTCCCAACTCGGAGGTAGTTAACATTTTCGATTTCAATATCTGATTTCCTCGTTTCTTATTTTAAAGTTTCTAAGTTTGATCATAAATTATGTTAAGGAATAAAATCATATAGGTACTTATTGGCTTTTTGCCTGCGGCTTTGACAACATGATTATCGATCAATGGGGGTTTTCGCAATCGAAAAATCCGCCAGATGGCAATACGTAGACGCGAGGTCCAAATGCTGCGTGATTGGTGGATTTTGACATATATGTATATCTGTCAATGTCATGTCAAAAATAACCAATCGTGCAGCATTTGGACCTCGCGTCTACGTATTGCCATCTGGCGGATTTTCCAATCGCGAAAACCCTCATTGCAAAAATATTTAAAGTCCGCGTCATATGACCAAAAATATGTAATATTTCATTAGAAAAATACTATATTTACCTATTTTATTTGTGACATAGATTTGCTACTGTTTTCCCAGGTTTATTTCAACCGTAACAGAGTTACCTATTTCCGCAAATTTAATATTAGTATTAGCTATCTTTGGTTCTAGAATAACAAACGAGCGCGACTGCTGAATGTGGTTTGGAATAAATGCAGACGCGAAATTCTAGCGTAAGCAAGTAAGACCGCAGCTTTGCATCACTTCGTTTTAACTGAGGGACGTGTTAGGTACGTATCCTCACTACGTAGATAAGGGTGAACTTATATTATGTGAGGCTTTGGCTACAATACTACTAAATTTTTTTGGTAGGTTTTTTCTAATGATAAAACATACAAATTTTAGCTTTTATTGTAGGAATTCAAGTCACTTTGACCTCAAAAATTTATAGCATGTCTAGTGTACTCGCAGCTTTAGGGGTGAAATGTAAATGATATACACACATCGCGTTCAGTTTATCTATTTCGGTGTAACAAACATTATTTCGAATATCCCAAGGAATCGTCTAACTAATAAAATCAACATTTCAATAGTAAATTAATAGCCGTGAACTCTATTTACATCTACTATCTATGTTATGTGACTAATTTAGTGACGTTTTAGCCATTTACAGTAGTTAAACTTACTTAAAATTTACATAGCAAAATTATAAAGCCACAATTTTACACGATCGATATTACAATGTAATTCTTCGTAAAAATGCAATAATATTAATAAATATTTTATAAAAGTGGCACAATAAAAGCCAGCAAGTGACAGTATTTAAATTGTTATTCGCTTTAAAAGTTACAAAGTATACTCGTATTTTTATAGATGCTTACTCCAAACAGAACTTTGACTGTGGATTTGAAATCCAGTTTTCTCTGTTTAATCTGTACAATAATGTCAAACATTTCCGTGTACATTTCAACTATGTAGTTTGCTAACAAATACCCTTTGTGCAGTCCTAAAATCTGAATTTAAACACATTGAAATAGTTTCAGAATACAGAAAACTCAATAATTTCATTCACACATGCTGAAATAAATATTTTACGCTAACTGCGGCTTTGCTCGCCCAAAAGTCAATGTTCCCATGATAATATAGCTTTAAAGCTCCTTTGAAGCACGTAATTTTTTTTTACAAAAAAACAAAAAAATTACAGTATCTTGTGCTTTCTTTTGTTCCCTGCATGCGTTTCGTTTTGGCAGGGAAATTTATGTGAAAGAGAGTTATTATACGAGTAAATGACACAGTGAACCTTTGGCCAATTTTTTTGCGGAGCACAAACCACTTACACCAAGTTCAATTGCTTACAATTTCAGAAGAAGGTACATAAAGGTACTTGTAATGTATATCTATTAAAGGTACTTGTAATGTAAGATAAGCAATGCTTATTTTTAGTTTATATGATCATTGACAGTGTAATGTTGTAAATATAACAATAAAATTGATTGTGCCTTTATATTCTCATACCTAGACTTTCATTGCAGTATTATTTAAATACAGGTACCTAATTAGAATGTTAAAATTATTTTATATTTATTGAAGTGATTTAGTTTTTATGAGCGGAATAATTACAATCTTATTTTGTGACGGTAGCAATTAAAATTATAATTTCATAGTAATTAATAAGCATTTCGTAGCTTTTAGCATTAACTGATTTAATAATTAACTATAATGAAAATTTTACAAACTTGACATACATTTTACAGCAGTAAATTAAATTAACAAATGGATGACGACGCGTCGTCGCGATGCGACACGGTTACATAATTTATCTACATCGTCAGTGCTTCAAGTCTATCTATTCGCTACACAATAAACTAGTAAATCGACTAGTCTAACAAAGGCGCACAATTATCACTATTTACATTTCCGACGGTTTACACAACCCTAAATTACTGTACAAAATGTGCACGATACAAAAACACAACAGAGTCGACGTACAAAAACTGTTAGTCCGCACAATCACCAGAGTCGTTATAATGTCGTTTTATTTCCAGAGTCGGAATTTGAACTTCCAGTCGCCATTGTCAGTTTTGCACTCGCAGTCATCAATATACCGTCAAATTGAATAACTGGCGACTGAAGAGTGATTGTCGAATACACTGTTTACACTTTTTACACTTTACAGCTTTTGTTTTACACACGATTATCGAGCACTTATTGTTTTGCACATGACGTCACTGTACACGAGTGTGTGTTTTTGGAGAGCGATGAGCAATGAGACAAAGATGAAGATAGCGAGGCTGTGTCTTGTCAGGCTGGCAGAGCCTGCAGAAGCCGGCATGGGCGCGGGCGTGGGAGGTCCCAGCCGAGTCCCGGAGCGGACTACCTGCGACCGCCAGCGTATCCTGTATAGGGGCTGTTGTCTTGACAGAGCTACTAACCTATAAAAGAAAAGAAATAGAATAATGTAGGACTTCATTATGTGCACAGGCCACTGATGAAGAGAATTGACTTGACTTTATTCGTCAACAACAATTTCCCATATTATGGGATCGAAGAGGAAAATTAAGGGAAATTACTAACTTTTAACAGTGTATTCAAAAAAGTAAATTCTTCGATATTTGTCTCGTACGAAACATAGAACTAAAACACCTAATTTGTGCCTTTTTAAAGAATCAACCTGTATAACGTTTGTTGAAAACAAGTTTTCACTGTAAAAATATACCCTTATCTTATGCTAGTAGGTAAAAACTGTTATATCCTCCTATTGTAATGCTCTCTTTACCGGACGGAGCGATTTCTCGGACTCCAAATCTACCGATAAAAGACGATTTCACACATCGTTACTCAATACTTACGAGTGGATATCATTTGGGAAACACACCACGTACCCTCTTATGGGTTCCTCTAATATGCACAAAGAAAAAGATCTTTCCACCCAGAGGTGCGTGTATACAAGCATGCGCTTACGTATTTGGCACGTCAGCCAGTGTATTAAAGCTAGGGACCATTCATAAATAATTTATCAAATGGAAGATCTGAAAAGTGTTTCCCTTTCTTGTTAAGGCCGTGCTAAAAGCTCGCACGTAGAATTTCTTTGACTCCTTTTCATGCTTTGCTACCGTGTTCACCTATACGAACGTCACACGTTCGATGGAGGTTCTCTTGCTGCGAAATATGATTAGTACTGGAGCAGGAGTAAAAAAAACTGCCAACTAAGTAACGATGGGAAGGTTTTTTCGTTACACGGCCATTAGGTAAGTAAAGCCGAGAGCTCTTTGTTTAACGCTGAATAAGGATTCTTTGTGTGCCTGTGATATTTTAGTGTTTTGTCTCTTCGTGGAAAATGGTTCCTATTTTCTGTTTCTGAGACTTAATTTATTATACAAATAAGTCTAAGCACAATGTTACAAGTACAAAAGTATTCGTCTGGAAAATTAATGATTGACAATATTTCAGATTGCTCAGTATTATTCACCTAAAATATCACTTCGACAGTGACTGCTCTGGACACAGAAGTTCTGTAAACGAGTATTTGTGCTACAAGCAGTTACATTTTTTAGACTTTAAGGCAGTAAACATCTGATGACAGCTGTGCAGATACAAGAGCCCTTTTCACTCGTAACCGTCGGAGAGTTGTGACATTGTCGATCTTTGGAACTTTTAAATACCTACTAGCGTGCTCGTAACATAATAATGCGTGTTTTTTGGTTCAAGTCTCGAGCTAACAAATACGCGCTGTTGCGAGCTCGCTGATAGTTAATAAGTTGCAAAACATCGACAATGTTATTGTTCTCCTCTGTCACAACTCTCGTCGGTCTCCCCTAAGATATTTTTCCACATAAGGGAGAGTCCGCTAATTTGGACCACTTTTTTTCAATCCCATTTTACACATCGTTTTCTTTTGTTTTTGCTAATATCCATGGTACATAATAAAAGATACATTATTCAACTTACTATTTCATAAGTATTAATTAACATGATTGTTGTATATTAGCACAAATCAACAAAGTACGAGTTCAGAGCTTCGGTCCAATTTAGCCAACCGGTTTGATAATTTGTACCACAGGGTTACTAAATTGGATTTCAATAAATTTCAAGCCTATAAAAAAACTATGGCAAAATATTATACAATACATTCTTAACAAATTAGGAAACGAAAAGGAACAGTAGTTAATAACATAGACAATCGATATTATTTTACACGTTATCACGATTTTGAGTACAAGTTGAGTATACGATTAATATTATTGTAAACGTAAGTTGATTGACTATCAAATTATTATTAATTAATCATCTTATTTATTAGGACGAATTATTAATATTTATGTAGGTATACCATGATTGATACTTCTGGAGTCGGTGCCAAGATTATGAAACATGTAAAGTTTGCCTGCACCGACTCCAGAAGTATCAATCATGGTATACCTACATAAATATTAATAATTCGTCCTAATAAATAAGTAGGTAATTAGTAATTATTTTTCTACGTTTTAGTGTAGGTTTTTTGGAGTCGGTTTTATTTTACACATTCAAATCATAATTATAGGTAAAGGAATTTCCCAAAAATTTGAACAAAATTAATGGTTACGACTTCGAGCTTTGACCTAAGTCCCGTTACACAGTACGATTCTTTGCCAGAATACAGAGGCGCGTTTGTCACATTTGCATCAAGACTTTAGCAATTATGAGATGCCAACAAGCGCCTGTAGCGATTCAACCCCGCAAATCAATAAAACACACGTTTGAATCTCTGCTTAATGCAGTTTCTTTCTTTCATTCAGAATAACAACAAGAAGTTATGAAATATAAATAACATTAGTAATTCATTATTCTGTGATTGCCCATTAAATAAAATCTAAGCTAATCGCGTCTGTATCACTGATGAACCGGTACGAAAGCGCTGCAATAAATAAGTCGCAGTGTGTAAAGGACCCAATACATTCGTACAAATTGATTAATAATTTATAATAATATTATTCATTTCGACGAATTTGATTTAGTAATTGAATAAGCTTCTACCTAATATGTATTTGAAACAATTTTGTCTGCTAATAGGCTTACTTGTTCCGAGGAAATATCAATGAAGAGCTGCCTTTCAACGTTCGAGTCCAGGACCCACGTGCACTGCTGATAGAAGAACTCGTTGAGGCTGCCCGTCACCGACACGTTCCGCGACGATATTTCACCTGCGAGAAATAAATGCTCCTAGTGGAAATAAGAAATTTAAAACGCGACAGAAACATCTACGTGAGCAATAATGGAATGAAAAGGCAGACACGAGTCGCCGCAATGGCAACGCTGTAATTGGAACTTTACGACCTTGTTCAAGGTTTTTTTTCGATCCAGTGCTACCCCAGGCGGCGTGAAACTGGGTCGTGGCACGTAATTTTCTCGGACGCCTCGCGCCACCAAGAACAATATCCGACGCGTTTTACCAAACGCCCGAGACGCGAGCCGAATGTCAAATTGAACTGTTTGTTTTCGCTTTATGCGATTGGAAGTCTATAGGGCCCGTTCGAGGTATATTGCCGATTATCCGTCCCATCCGAGAGACATCTTCATCGAATTATTCGGGGCCCTGTTTTCGTGTAGATGTGGTGATAAAATTATGTACAGGTGTGTATTGGGGATGCGTGCGTAGGACGCGTGGGAAGTATCAAGAAGGCTATTTGTGTCAAGAGGCCGGTGGGCATTGAAGAAAGAAGTCTGTGACAGCAATTTGTAGATTTTTTTTTATGCTAGACAAGGCAGGTATTTGACCGCAATCGCACCTGGTGTTAAGTGAGATGATTTAATGTGGGTAGGTAGTGGTGACCAGGTCACCTAAAAGGGGGTAAATAAAAATCTGAATATAAAGTAGAGGAAAGGACCAGAAGAGACGCAACTACAAACTATGTTCATAGACAGTATACGTATTTACCTGAGTGAGTGGTGTATGTGCGCTGACCGCACATGGCGTCGTCGTTGAAACTGTACGCGGCCGCGTAATCGAACCCGCGGCTGGCGTACGTGTAGTGCGCCACTGAGTACTCCAGCCGCACGCTCGTCCAGCTGCGTACGACCACCGGCAGCCAGGCCGCCTAACAAACATACCCAATTATATCATTAAGTGTTCGACACCAACCAATAATTATTGTAAGACACAACTTCTTTAAAAAACCAATACACAACCCTGAAAATCGAAGAAGTCTTCACTTAATTGGTTGTAAAGTATAATTTTTATTCAATAAATTGAGTTCGCGACTTGTTGACGTCCTATGTCCCCATTGCCATTCAAAAGCATCGGAGAGTCACGCCTTGACAGCTTATAAAAAGTACGTCAATTTAGTAGGGTGTCCTCTACCCTATTCCCTTTCTCTTCTATCTCAATTATACATTATGAAAATTTACAGCCCTTTCATTCATAATAGAATTAATGTCAAAGTTTTGATATAAATATCCCAATTTAATAACGGTTCTTTTTAAATCCCCTGCAAAGGGACAGAGAATTCTAACTTTATAATTAAACTGTAAGAACGGTTGATGAAAAAATTAAATCCAGTCCAAGTTTCCGACTGATCCTCCGAGGGATAAGTATTTTTGGAAATGCGAGATGTTTCACCCTTTTAAAATAATTTATCTTTGGTATTTCTCATCACTTCGTCAGAGATGTCGGGTGGTTTTACGTGACGGAGGTTGCGAATAATGGCGGCGTATATCGAGGTTTAGTTAGCACCGGCATTACGTGTGTGGAGTATTGACAAATTTGGCGTGCAGCCGCGTACGCAGCACGCATACGTAGTCGGCTACTAAGTAATTGAATTTTCAGAGGCGAGTCTCGGGCTGTCGCCCCGGGTGGCCGGCGGCCGCTAATAGCGGGGGAGGACGGATGACACGCCACGGTCGCGCGTTTACGAGTACCAATGGACGCCGCGCCGCCCGATATTGCCCGAGTTCATTTTGCAACAATGCCTCCTCGTAACAATTTAGCGCCGCCGCCGTCAAACTCATGATAGGGGTAAAGCACTGTTAATAATTAAATTACGCGCCCGTTCCGCATAGCTAGATAATAAAAGCTACGAGCGAGCACTCGACCCTGTATCTGTAACGGAGCCCGCAAACTTTCTCGACTCGCACACACTAGGCGTAATCATGAAAATGGAAAAAGAAAAGTTTCTCTTACCTCGGCTCTGGCCGCGTATTTTACATAACTGCGAACTTATACGGCTCACGCATTTTTCCTTATTACACTTTTGATGAGTTGGTACGGTTGAGATATTCGTACACTGACAAAGCGGACCAATTAGTTAATCGACGTTCGATGAGAGACTTAAATTCGATTGAGAGTTTAGGCAACTTTGGATAAACAAAGCAATTGAATTATTATGGGTGTTTTGTTATTATATTTAGGACATTGATAATAACAAAGTTAAATTTAGAACGAGAGAGGCTACTAACAACATGTGTAAATTATTTAGGGGCATATTTGCTTTTAGAAGTCCCCATACGGTTGGGTGGCCTTTCGTCGGTTTATTGCTGTTACATACTTAATAGTAACCCTCTTACTTAATTATGCGGATCGCACAAACCGGAGCATAGGCTGGCGAAGCGAAGGGTTGCCATCCCTCGGATGTGTTAGCACAGTCAAGGCCTCCGTAACACGATTAATTTATTTGTTACGCTCTTTTCTAAACTTTGTTTTGTAATCTACTAACACCTATTATAAATGCAAAAATAATTATGGTTATGTTTTCACGCTTTAGCTGCTGAGTATAATAATTTGAATTGAATTTTGTAGACAGGTAGGTACATAATCTCCCATAAGTACTTGTACACTTATTATGATACATACATTTGGAAAGGATTTCCTTTTTTTTTCTAATCTCTAAGCATTTAGCATTTATAAACAATGTTTCCTCAATTACGACGATAAACAAAATTTGTACCGACTAAGCTGGTCGAGGAAAAACGTAAAATAAAAAGATTGACTGATTGCCAACAAATTGGTGGATTGATTGCGGTTTAACGTTATTTGCGGGATAAAAACAAAATTTCTCGTAATTGATTGGATTCCATAAATATTAATTTTCACGTTGCAATTTTTTTCAATTCGGTGCGCATTTATTCACTGCTTTGATGTTTCGTACGTGTGACGTAGATTTCAATCACCGAACGCCGACTCTGCATTCAGCTTCGTGTGTGAATTATTATCAATTTGAACGTCTGTATTTTTGCACGAATAAATGCTAACAATACGGGCGGGTACCTATCTCGATGTAACAACAATCTAAATTACTGTACTGTTTTATTTATGAGAAGACGGCATTAAATGATTGCCTTGCCGTTTCACAAAATAAATAACTCTGAAAATAACAGTTACAAAATTGCTTTATGAATATCATATTGTTCTTGATTAACTTTATTTTACGGACAGTTTACATCTAAGTATTATGCTCAAAAGATTACCTAACTACTTTACCTGAAAGTTAAAGAAATAAACGAGTGTTGCCTGCACCTACAGAGTGATGTGATCGTGGTACTAGGTACTACCATTAAAAAAGGTAATTGATAAAGGACTCCCCTCTAAAGGGGAGTCCTTTATCGCTGCCAAATAGCTGTATCTAGAAGGATCTATTAAGTCTAGATACGAATTTACCTGGAAGTCGCCGCAGAGGCACGATAAGTGAGTGCCGTCGCCAGCCACCAGCGCGATATGATCGTGATAGTGAAGCGGAGTGTTCGCCCGGCACTCGCAGCCCGCGTCGCCGCAAGCCGTCCGGCAGCCCGCGGCGCCGACCGTGCCTGTGAGCTCCGCGCTCCACATGCGGTCTAACCGCTGAATCTATTCGAAAACAAGAAAAATAAAATCAAGAAATTCATTCCACAAAGACCGGTCCTGCGCTGCCCTCATTAAGCCGCTTGTCTTTTAACCTTAACAAGATTGTCGGTTCACGGAGTGAGAGGCGATAACTTTTCTGCCCCAACGGCCATAAGTTCTACGAGTTGTGTCCCAGCTACTAAGTCTGGACTGCATGCGGGGAGAGGTGGACCGGTTGTTGAGGAAATATTTTGTTCAGGACATCTTTTTTATCAATCAAATGATGAAACTATTAGGTCAGATTTCAGGTACCAAAAAGAAACGAAAAAATGTAACATTTCAGGGGATAGAATTACGTTTTCCTGTGCAAAAAATACAGATGCCACAACAAAACCCACTCGGTCAGTTTTATTAACATTGGCAAATATTGGAACCAGGTAACAAGAAACAATAAGGGAACCGCAAACACCGCGACCCAAGGCATTTTCATTCCGCCTTCCTCAATACAAAACTGACTGCAAATAGCATTTTTGTTCGGCGAATTGAAAGGTAAGCATACATTTTAACAATCGCCGAATGAACCCGGGAAATCTTGGACATTATTACAGCTAAATAAATTTATAGTACTACCTATGTAATACTGATTCATCAATCTCCAACAATGTGAATCGTATCTGGGTCAATCAGATATTCAGAATGATAAATAGAGCGTAAAATTTATGACTGTCTCGAGGGAGTGAAAGTTCTGCCGGAATACAAATTCACCGACTTTTATAATCATTGTTATTGCACTTCAGAAGTTTAAAGTAAACACCAAGTTTGTTTCGTTTGCTTTGTTTTCGTATCGGATCGGTTGTGTTTACTGCACTCTGTACCATTGAAGAATATGCTATCTTTGTATATTTTATTCAGTTATTTTTATTCTTGGATGTTTAAAGTTATAGCTTGTTGGAGACAAACATAAAATTGCTGGATTAAATAAATCACCTACTTAGAATATACGAGTAGGATAGCAATTGAATGAGTACTGTTCCCCTAGATCACACAGTTGCAAGATAAAAATAAATCATCTGTATAAAGCATACTGGATACACTGAATCTCTCTTGAACCATTATGTGGAAGGAAATGTATTTTCAGTTGCGTGTAGTAAATTGTTCATGGCTCTGAAAGTAGTGTGTGATTGCAGTCGCTTCTATTTTATTTATTATACTGTTTTATCCTTTTATGTAATAGATCAAAATATTAATATAAACAAACTAAATGTAAATATTTTAGCTGATTAGACGTACCTCGATAGTGACGCTCTGGTTAGCAGCAGGGATAAAGCGATGGGTACACTGCAGTCTCTCTTCTATGTTCCAGAATATGTGGTGGTGGGATGGCGCGGAGACGCCACCGTGCTTCGGCGAGGCCAGCCCATAGTGCGTGGCCGCGCAAGTAGCGTCTGGTGACACTGTGCCTTCGTGGAGTTCTGGTGAAAAGAGGGTTTTGCTAAGCTATGCAGCTTTGGCCCCAAGAATATCACCACAATCCGCATCACGGACCCATTGCTGATTGGTCTTTGAGTCTATTTACTGTATCGTATTACTCCAAGAAATGTCAATGACTATTAATACCACTCATAAAACATAGTAAGATTACTCACCATCATGAAAAGCAAAAGCACCATCTACAAATTCCTCTTCATCAGCACTTTGTGTGCCTGCTCTCCGAACCAGGATTGTTAAGTTTGCTCCCTTTGATGTTACTGCTTGCCGCAGTAAAAATCTTCCCGAGGGATCCCGAGCCTCCCTCACAGAAGGTCCGCACACCCAAAGCAGTGCTCTATCTCCCCGTTCAGACCGATCCCCCCTATCTCCTTTTGCTCCAAATTCATGTAACCCCTCCAAGATCTCAATATGAGATCGACAGCTTTGTAACCTGCAGAAAACAATAATAATTTTCCAAACTGCCTTCGTCACAATGGAATTGCTTTCGATAAATCTTTGGCACCACTCCAGATAAAGCTAAGGAGTCAAAAGCAATTAGCAGTGAAACTGGTATGGACGTTTCATATTACTCAGTGGTTTGTGGTTCGGTCACCAGCGTTGTACGAAAGAAAACGCCAAGCCGCAACGTCATGTGGAAAAGTGGTTTAATTAGTTCTTTGAAACAACCCGCGCGCGATTATAGACTTGAATAATTTGCACTGTATGGCGTTTTATTATTCAAATTGATACAGTAATTAAGTTCAAACGCTTCGTTTATTTGCTTAATTTATATACGCGAGCTGACTGCAATAAACACAAAATCTATGACAGTAATTAACATATTTTTCCGAGAAATGTGTTTGAAAATTTAACGCAATATTATACCGAATTAAGCCTGTGCAAATAATTCACGAGTCACTTCCTGTTTTCGGTCGTTGCTCTGTGCAAACCTGGCCAAGACTAGCGTGAGACTTGGTAGAAATAAAATGAAACGACAACAAAATGGACGGTCGTAAAGTACCCAGTATCAGTAGTGGGCTTACCTTAAATTATAATTGAACAGCGACACCTGAACCACGTCGGTGGGTGCTCCCAGCAGGTGTATTGCGCACTGGGTCCGCCAGCCGCTGGCGCGCGTGTCAAAGTGCCCGGAGCGCGCGCCACCCGGGCCGTAGCCGCGCACAGTGGCGCCGCACCCCACTCGCCCGCCACCATTGTTAGCGGAAACCTCGTTCGACACCACATTACTTTCCATCGCTGCCACCCTGTCCACTAAATAAAGACAAAACAAACATATTACCCAACTTCATTATTGTGCCCCGAGACAACGCTCCGGCGAAATGGAAACAGAAATTGTACCCGGTCAGGGAAGACTAGACTTCAAGTAATCCCACTTCTCACGGTGGAGCACTTGAATGTCTCGTAATAAACTGGCGAGCGGTAAGTTTTTTGCACGCTCAATTGTTTTCAGAGTATCTCCGTTGCTATTTAAGCGTGAAAACTACTAAATTTCGCTGCCAGTAAATAAATGGGATATGTTTCCATGAGCGCTTTAGCGGATAAGCAGTGGATTTTGTAAGCTTTCTTTTATGAGCTTTAGTAGTTTTAATCAGGGTTTGTTGCACAATTGCGCAGAGTTTCAACGGTTATTAGCGAATAAGCGTTATTTGGAATTAACGTTTGCATACTTAGTTAAGCGTGGTACCACTTCCGTGGTATTGCATTTTAGTAAAACATGAACGATATTACATTGTGGGTCGTAACGCGGGATCCGCCGGGCAGAGCGGTCATGTCGCATCGCAACGCAATTACAGCGGATTGGCCCTCAGGGGCTCGCTTGCATTGGACACAGTTCCACTTTAAAGTACCGAATAACTCCAGAAATCCGTTACGATGCGGTATTACCGTTGAATTCGGGAATAATTCGCAGGTAGCAGCTTGCGACTATCATTTATTGGATAGCTGGAATGTTTAAGCCACGATTGTGAAACAAGGCGAATTTAAGCTAACTCGTTTTCGATCACTGTTGTAATGCTACGGTATTTTGTAGCACAAAGTGATCCTAATTCTCAAATAAAGCTTAAATAATACTAAATCGGAAAGTAGATAACTTTACATCCTCTTTCAAATTTTTTAAAACGTTAATGACATTTCCATCTTCAGCATTTCAGCCTCATTAAAAGCTCCAAAAGCACGTTTCCCTGCTTGTCTCATACAAAATGATTACATAATTAAGTAGTAAGATGTAAAACGATAAAATTGTAATTTAATCGCCAACGTTCTATCAAAAATAAATCAGAATACGTACCATTCGGAATGTGATGCGTAAGCGCAGCTAGAGGCGGCGAGGCGGGCACCACAGTAGGCGGGGGCGCGCTGCCGTCCGCCCGCTCTATGAACTCCAGCTTCGCGATGAACCCGTTGTAATCGTACGGCGGCACTAACGGGCCCGAGCTAAGCACAAATGTAATCAAGACAGAATTTCAACCACCAGGTTTCACATTACCACGGAAATTGCTTGTAAATGGGACTTCCTCGAGCAATAACTCTCGCTACGCTCACTGCAAGTGGGACTCAACAATGGTGTAACTGCCTTCGGCGCGATTTCAAGTTAAACTAAGGATGTTAACCGAATTCTAGGAGACACAATTGAAATTAATAAGACGAGATTAGAATTCTGACTGTGACGCAATTAAGGAATGTATTACATACAGGTGTCAACATATCGCGTAACATAAAACCTTTAATTAATAAACGCTCTTACAAAATTACAACGATTTTGCAAAGTTACGAAGGCGATACGAATTTCGAAATTAACTTTAAAAACTGTTTTTAAAAGCGTATTAGTTTCATTTTTTGCATATTCACAATCTGAAAAAGCACACAGCTTTGTGAAAATATGTATGTTTTTAATTAGACTTACTTAAACTCGAGCAATAAATTCGGGCCAGGCTGCTCCAAAATGGCCGTCCTCTCTGAGCACAGGGAAGCCAGCAGCGGCGCTGACGGCGAATTTCCAGCCCGTAGAGTTAGATAGTCTGTGGCGCAGTGACTGAAAAAAAAATCTTTGTTAACAAATTATTTGACCCAACTTTTTTGATAATTCCTACTAAACATATTATTTAAATCTATGTTAATATACATTTGTATTATTTATTTGAAGATAATTTTGTAATTGTAAAAATAATCACTTGTTTACGCTGATTAAAATATGGTCGTTTTTTTTTCAAATTAGGACATTGGAAATAGGAGATCTGCGATAGCGCACAATATAATACAGGAAATAAACCAGTCAACCCCGTAACAAGAAATATGGTATGCGGAAAACATTCATACAAACTTGCCAATAAAATCAATTTGGCGTAGATTCAAGCATTAAAATAAAGCGGAAACGACAATGTACGTTAGCCAAAATAAAAAGAGAGAAAGAAAAGCATTCTCTTTCACGTCTAGTTACGTATGTCCAAATAGAAGTATCGCTTAGACGATAAGATGCGGTAATTTCAGCGAGCTTAGTGTTTGCTTTAAGCCTGCGAGAACTAGTTCTATTCCTGGTTCCTGCTCTATTAGTACGTGTGTAGGGAAACATATTGCACCGAGATAGCACTTTTATTTCCCTCACTCCACTGCTCCTGAGAGATTTATCTCCGAACAAGTGCGATTGAAACAAATACGGTTTAAAGTACGTGCTATTATTTCACCAACTAATATTATACTTTAAGTTTAAAAGACTCGCAAAGAAAATAAAGCTAATAAACTTAGACGCTGAAAGCCTCACAGATAACCTGGCTTTTCGTAGAATTTTAAATTGGCTTCTTGAAACATTTTGGCTTGGGGATATATTAAAAATCCGCTGGGATCTTTCGATCTCGAATATTTTTCAAGATAAAAGCGAACTATCTTCTTTTAATAATTTCTGTGCTTCCCGGAATGTTATTACGAAAATAATTCTTAATTAATCACATTACCGTATGAAGGGTGTATAAAAGCCGTAATTTAAGGACGAAAATATGTGATGTCTGGAGCTATTAAACGGTTAATAGTATTACGCATGCTAATTCTATTTAAATGTAATCCAGAACTTCTGTGTGGAATCACAGATTACGTATAACTACATGTGTGGGTACTTAATTATGGAATTCGACTTTATGTACACACATAGGTACGTGTATATTCGTTCTTAATGCTGAATAGTTCACGCTACAACAGATTAAAATTAGCAGAAACTAACTATTGGGGTTAGTCCTTATAAGTTATTTTCTATATTTTAGAATAATTATGTTGCTATCGCGCATGTCGAGATTATGTAATATCCTTTTGAATGAGAGGTAGCGTAGCTGATTAGACAAAATAAACGATAAGTTATAAACATCCTAAAAATACACCATTATTGAATTGTATTATGACATAAAATATCTATACAGCAAGCCTTTGTTTACTTTAGAAAATCTAACACATACGCATTATACGGCAAGCCGCACATCATCTCGGAACGAGTTTGCAACAACATACTCGATCACATAATACGAAAATAGAGGAAAAGTCGTATACTCGGTCACCTAATACCAAAAGAGAAATAGTCGTAAATCGCCGGTTATACTTTCATGGCGGCGTAAAATCTGGCGTAGATGGTGGCTGGTATGGTTACTGTCACACGTCAGTCAAAGTCCGCCAGTCAAATTTCATTAAACTAGTTCGTTACTGTTAGTATTTTTCTTTTCACATGTGGGTAGGTATTATTTTACTGGACAGCCAAAAAGCTGTACGTAGCCATTAGGTAATTAATAAAAATATAGCGATTTCGATATGGTGGAGTAAAATTATATAGTAACTCTGTCTAAAGCCTGGTCCGTGAGCACGTAGAGTTTTGTCCAATGACCCCAAGCTACCCATCCTTGCTGCCCTATGTTGCTTTCGCGCTCGCACACTCACTGCGGGCGCCCGTCGCACAGTCGCGACAGCAATATAATTACGCGCGAGCGATAAGGATGGGTAGCTTGGGGTCATTGGACAAAATTCTACGTGCTCACGGACCAGGCTTTACACCATGTATTGCAATGATCTCTTCTCTGTGCAGAATCGAATTTGGCTGGTTTTTTCCTACTTTTACAATATTCGGTAGTTTTACAAAATTTCGACAGCCTACTTGATATTGCCCGGAGCATACATCATGTCAATAACTTTCCCCAGTGGATGTTCCAAAGCGAAAAAGGTTGAAATCGCTCTTCGTAAATACAAACAATCTTTATCTACACTAATATTATAAAGAGGAAAACTTTGTTTGTTTGTTTGGTTGTAATGAATAGGCTCTAAAACTACTGGACAGTTTTTAAAAATTATTTCACCATTCTAGCTACATTATCCACGAGTAACATAGGCTAAATTTTATTTTGGGAAAAATAGGGTTCGGTAAAATATGTAGATAATGTAGTCCACGTGCGCGAAGCCGCGGGCGGAAAGCTAGTTAAAAATAATACAATAATCACGCTAATACCTATATGCATATTAATGCCTGCCTTAAATGCTTTAGAAAAGTCAGTCAACCTGAATCTACAACACAGTAACAACGTTGACAATTATTTTCTTGATATTCAAACAATAAATACTGTACATGTAAAATAATTTACATTACATAAAAATATCAACACTGCTTTGAAATAAAAATGCGCAAGTCGTAAATCTGCGAGCGAGAGGTGAAAATTGTTTTGAAAAATTTTTACGTGTTACCGTTATGATGAAAGTTGTTTACGGTCTTGTGTTTATATATATTTTTATGTTTACTGCCTTTTTCGTTTATAAGAAATGCGTTTCGTTTTATGTGTTTCTGCAATAATACGAACGTGATTTCTGTTTGTCACAAATAATCTCTTGTTTCTTATTTCATTTTCTAGGTATGATTATTAGAAGAAAATGCTTATACTTGTTAGAAGAAAACCTTTCCGGACTTTTTTAAACAGAGGGCTTAGTGTGAGTTCTCTTGAGCGCGTAAAAAATTACATTAAATGTATGACGGATTGTACAGCTCTAAGCCCTCAGGTTATTGCTATTTGTACTCGTTTTCACGACTAGCAAAATTCAATTAACTTGTTGGAGAAACAATGACCTTAACTATCAGGTAATTAATGACCATAGTGACCATAGCAGTTCATAATTTCAGTCAATAGCGGGCTTTTGCTGGACGTCACAAAGTGCGATCTGTTTTTCATATAGATAATTGAGTACCTACTTGAAAAACAATAAACGTATTATTAAGAACAGCAAAAGAAGCAAAAGAACACTTCAAAATCATCGAGCATCATTTGTCATTACATTCGGGCCTGATAAACCTATATGGAAGAACATGTTACCCTTTAAAGTCAATGGGCCGCCGTAAATTTTCAGTAGCACGCGACAACCCACAGGGTGGAAGGGAGATAGGGCGGTCCTTTTATTTACTGGAACGATTGTTCGCAGGCCTTTCAAACGGGCACGACTGGATTTCATACGGGTGCTTGATAAAAACGCCAAAGAGAAACGGAGTTATAGTTGTCGAGTGTAAGACACACGTAAAATTCTTCTTGAGCGGATATAAAAACTCTGGCGAAAGGATAAAGGCACATTACTATGGAAAGTTCGGATAACGAATACGTTATTATATTTATGGAATAAAAAGTTTATTTTTCAATCTATTAGGGCTCTATTTTTAATCGAGAAAAAAAAAGAGGGAAGAGTTAATTTACTTGTAACTTTATACACTCTTATTTCTAAAAAACGAGTAAATAAAACAAAAATGTCGTGTCGCCGTCGGAACTTACAATAATTTATTGTCTAACATCCGAAAGCATTCAGTTAAAACCCCACTTTTCAAAGTCGTTAGATAATGAAAGGGTTAATTATAATAAAGGGTTAATATTCTTTCCGTTTGCCGATATTTCAGGATTATTCATTCATCATCACGTTTCTATTACCGACTTCAGTAAATTAATATTTGATGAGAGATGGCTATTTCAATAACAAATTGGTCTAAATTATGACAAATGCATGCTGAATTACGTTCAGAATAATATTCAACTTTGGTAGGCGACGGTATGTTTATTTATTGTTCTATTACAGGTTTTATTAAATTAAAATGTTAATTAACAAATCCAAAACCACCACAGTCGTATCCAATTGATAATTAATATTTGTATCATTACGTGGTTAATGATATTCATATTGTGCTCAAAATCGAAATATTTGTTAATAAGCAAGCTCGGCAATTTATTTGTTCGCGATCGTGAGACTCTTCAGTCACATTTAAATTACTGGATTTCGGCTGTTGAATTTGTATCGAGTTGTTAAGATAAATGATATACACCACCAATACAACAGATGAGTATATTTATTGTTGCAAAATTAATTACAACCAAACAAAATGAAACATTTTGTAGTTTGAAATCTGTCTTTCGAACTTATTTGATCAAGATAATGTTAATAAAGCAATAAAGTTTTCATCACATTCCATTGAATGTAATTTAATGCATGATTGGATAATTTTAGTAAGACATTTCTTGAGAACTCATTAGGTACTTTGTATCAACTAACTTTGGGTAGGGTAAATAGAGGGTGTTATTTACCCCAATTAATAATATAAACAATGCCTTTGAATTGCAATAATATACCCCATAACCAGCAGGAAACCTGTGCGGCTATACATTAACAATAAACTTCAGCACAATAGCATAAATGTTAATATCCACAAGCACCATGCTTCACTGCCATTTAAATGAGCAAATGTGTTGGAACACAAACTATCTAATTAAATATTACGTTGTAGCGACAATTCTCAGGAAGTGGGTACCGATTTATGAGGGTGGGCGGGGCGCGGCGACGGAGACAAAATGTCTACAGCTCTGAGTTCTAATTACGGGGCTATCTGTCATTTGTCAAGTGGCGAAGTTAACTCGTTACGGTGTCCGGTGCTTGGGAGATACTTGTGAGGTGCACTACCTGGGCGTGCGCATACTTTATTGTGTACGTAAAAAAAAATGCCGAAATGAGCCTTTGGATTAAAACAAAGTCCCAAAACACTCTTTGTAGACAAATGCCTATTTGTAGACACTCTATCATAGGTACTATCGGCCACAATTCCAGACTTCCAGCTACCCATTTCTGGTCATGTTGTCTCGTTCTATCGCAAAGAATCACCATTTGATGAAAGCGAGAGAAAAAGCAGAAATAAGTAGCTGGAACTGTTGCCGAGTTTTGGAAAAAATCTACAAAGGTTTTTTTCTTCACAACATATTTTTGTTTTTTAGTGAAAGGGATTTCAGTATTGGAAAATGACATCTTCCTGAATTATAGAACGGTTTTGAAACATGTAAACAACAAATGTAGGTAGCAAAAATGATAATTATATTGTCTCGTACTCACTTTCTAGGCAGCAGTATGGAGGTGAAGATGATCTTGACACGCGTGTTCACTGAGTTGGTGGCGAACAGGTACCGGCATCGGCGATGTGGCGGGTACAATCCAGGGTACCCCGGACTGGCCAGAACGCACGAGCCGGGCGCGCGACACGACACGTCTTGGTACATCCAGTCGCAATCTGTGGAAAATAGAAGCTAATGAAACAGTGCCGGCCACTTACAAATAAAATTAAAACCTCAATCATNTTAATCATAGCAAGTAAAAAAGTTAGGTATTCTGTAACAAGAACGAAATGTTCTTAATTTTTAAATTAAAAGACTAATTATTATGCCTCAGTGGGCTCAAAATGTTATGTTAGTGCTTTTCGTGGTTACGTAGATAAAGAACTCTATATCTACTCTATATTTAAAATATTATGGCATTTTCCCGATGGTAATCGCCATAATACCGTGATTAAAATTATATAGGTAATTGTAGCTATTAGAATAATTATTTACAAAATCGCTTGAAAATTTTGAGGAGTCGAGACGAGATAAAAATAACAAAAGAAAATCGAAATTAATCGAATGAAAAAATAATGACATTTCTTGGTGGCCAGTGTTGCGCGGCCTAGGAGTCCGGTCGTGTGCAGCCGTGTAATTCATTGGCATTCGTTATTGTTATGAAAAAAAAAATGCATTTAACACAACCTTTTTACTGATATTTACTTTCTCAGCGTCATTCTCAATCCCAAGGGACGTCCCATATCTGTAGGGATAGTAAAAATTATGAGACCGGCATTGTTTTTTATTGTCTTGGCGACGGTTTTTTGCATATCCCATGTATTTGGCTACGCCATAAATATCACTTGCAGAAATATTCTTTTCTTGAATCGGGCGAGGGGTTACTTTTATTATAACTTCTTTATTTTTGTATTGTTAAGGAGATTATGAAAAAGCGACCTTGATTTCTTGAATTGCTAAGGAACAAGTCTTCAACAGTTGCCTGTAGAATTTTTGAATATTGACTTATAAAATGTATTACTTTGTCGTTACAGAAATATTTTAAATGTGAATTTCATATTTAGATAAAAGTTATTTTGCTTTTGAAAAATAAATGAGATGGCTTTAAGTGAAAGAACTACTCATTATCATCATAACCTCGAGCTAAATCCTTCTGTAAATAAATATAAAAATATGTGCACCCTTATGAAGGACAAAGCTCTAATATATTTTTCATTGAAAAAGCTCATTTAGTTCATTAATATTCATGAAATGCATGCATGGGAGCTTTCCAGCGTTTTTACTAAAAATCAATTGTCGCTATAAGGAACTAATTTTTGCCGCTTTATTTTCGATCTTGCTGAATTAATTATCGTTTTATTTTGTTACACAGTTATACCGATTTTTTTCTATAAAGTGTATGAAATACAAAAATTATTAAGTATAGTGTATTAAGTACAAAAAAGAAAAGCTAAAAGAAAATAAAAACTATAATTTTAATTGCAATCTTAATTTGTCAACCTTCACTTTAGACGCGTGTCTCACGTTCACATTTAAAAAAAAGCTCTATTACTCGTACTTATTTTGTTAAAAATATTAGCAGTCTTATTTTTGTTATACAAACTGCTTCCTTGTATCAAATATCATTTCTAAGTATCAAATAGCCCATCACTAACTGTAAGAATGTAAAACAAAATTCTTATTGTGGCTTTTATTTGTATTGAGCCGAACGCGTGTAGTGTTTCAGCGTTCGAAGCTTATTGTATTTGCTGTGCACAAGTATGACAGACGCTCGTGGTTGAGTGGAGAGCCTTTTATGTTGTAGCGCACAAGTACTGTGTTAATGTTGTTACTATTTTTCTAAATGGGGCAAAAAATGCACAAAGATAAAGATATTTAATTCATAAATACCTACCAGGAAAGTGTACTTTTGAGCAATGCCACTGTGGGTATACAGTGTGTCTACCTGTATTTTTAGATGAAAACCAGAGGTATATTGTAGCTTAATGCTTACCAAAAAATAAAACTAATGCCACTGAATGAAACAAATTAAAGCCGTAAATAATGAATGCTTGTTAGTTAGAATTGTTGCAGCGAATTTAATCTGCCTTAAAAACTCTACATTTTAAAATGAAACTAAAACAATCAGAGTACACAATCGGGTCATGCATATCATAAAATCTATCAGTTGTGTGGACGGAACCCCGCTTAATCCATTTCAATCAAGGCCCACTGCAAAATGTAAAGTACAACACGTATCGGATAAAAGGTTAAATAAATGTGCAAAGCGTTTCACAAAAATACACTCATGCCGAGTGAAACGTAGCAAAATGCACCCGCGAGTTAGTGAAGACCATTTTGTTCACTCTCAACATCTCGAGGTCTTGTCACATCATCGCAGCGCAATTTCGTGTACAGTGCGAGACAAAATACAGCTTGGAAAAGTGCAGGAAACAATTTTCTAAACAATGCGGCTTCAAAAAGACGATTGATGTCTTCGTGGTTTAGTAGTTGGACTCGGTTGATTCATTTGAAGCTCTCAAGTTCAATTCCCTGATGTGACACGAATTAAAAAAATATTTTTGGGCATAAATAAGAAAAACTAATTAACTAGGTACATCAAAATACCTATTATCTAAATCAATGGCAAGAGTTATCTAAAATACGCTATTGAATATGTACCTAGATGATATTTTATTGTAAAGGTCTTTTCTTTCGCGTTTTGAATTTAACATTAAATTAATAAAAAAATGTAGTGTTTATTTTATGTTGCCTGCTTTTTTCACAGTTGGAATTAACCACAAGTAACAACCCTGGTGTCAGACTTAGTACTCGCCAAAGAGTTTTTTATTATGTGTTCCAACTAGGAGTCGAACCCTAGACCTGTATCTATAATAGTACACTACTGAATAGCTTCCAACCTGCAAAAAATAATTATAAGCGGCTTATGACGAGGGTCGCGTTAACGTCGGCCACACTTGCGTTGCTTTGGAAAAAATCTTTTGTACACGCAAAGTATGGCGATAAATCCAAAGAGTTTGTTCCCAACAGCCCATACCGACGTACTCAACGAGTAATTACCAAACAGCCGAATATATTCAAACTGCCATTCGCAAAGATTCGATGAATATTTTACCTCCAGCTCCGTCTTAGAACCTTTGTTGTGATAAACATGAATATCTAAGCTTGCATTTACTTTGGCGAATTTGAATTCATGGATTTCGAACAAAGGAAGTTCCGGCGATAATATTTACATCGTTTCAGACGGAAATTATTTGATAACTCTGCAAAATAACATACTTTTGGGAAATCCCAAAGTTACCATTTACATTGTAAATTCCGCGAATAATTTTAGCAGTAATGTTTTATTTTAACTAAACTTGATATCACCAAAATGATTTTTACATCCTAAAAAGGCCTGGAATAAAATTATTTCAGCTGTGAATTGAGAGTTTGATATTTGAAACGTAGGTAGTCATAAAATTCTGCCATATTGGCTTTTTGTAGGAACGAAATCTGGACCATAAAACGTTTCGGTGAAATTGCAATAAAGTGATTTTTGAAATAGTGCTACTAGATACTCTATTACACGCGTATTATTCGTCTCATTGCGATATGAACGTATGAATTTGTTGCTCGATTTCTCTTTTAAAATAAATTCATAAATATTTATCATGTATATGAATCAGTTTAAACGAATCTATTTTAAATGTAAACATAAAACATGTCTTTATAAATAATAATACGTTACAATAAACAATAATAACGAGACAATTATTCTAGTCTACCAAATAAAAGATGAGCATCATTAATAAACAAGATAAAGTAACTCGTCGTTTATAATGAATGATTCGATTGTTGAAAATGATTTATGATTAAGCAGCTGACCTGTGTGCGGTATCCTGGAGCCCCCGCGCGGGTGGAACCCCACCCCTTGGGTGTTGCTCAGAGAAGTGAAGCTGAAGAACGCCAGGAACTGCGACCGCACAGTCTTCTCTGTTATCCTGGTAACAAAATACAATGTTTAAAATAAAGAAACAACAAAAAAAACAAATTCGTGGAATGACGAATGACCGATTGAAGAACGTTAACAATACTCAGTACGAGTTATAGTAGTCCAGTAGAATTAGCTTTTAAATCGGAAATAATTCCTACAAAAGATTTTATTATTTTAATGGCTTCATTGGTTGCCCATTAAGACTCTCCTAAGTTTTCGACTTCGACGGAGTTGTGCTTAAGTGGTGGGGGCCCCCGAAAGAGGCATTTTTCGGTTTTCCGGTTATACCGCGTAAAGGACTTACCCTATCAAAAAGTGGTCTTCATGACGGTTGAAGGGCACTTAATNAATTATTTCCGATTTAATCAATTTTTGTGTTTAATTCTACTGGCCTATAGAGCAGGTAAAATATAAAAAGTCGAAGCCATCCAGTTTTGACCCCTGGTTCACGGGACTTTTTGTTGCTAATGACCACTAGTATTTTCAAGGAATAGGTCGAGTTTCCCTGTCACCCTGTATTTGTGTGTAGGCAGGATAAAAGCTACGTAACTATGATTATATTTCGAAAAGACTTAGACACTCGTAGAAGAAAAATTAGCGATTTCTAAGAAGCCTCTGAGATACGGTTTTGGGTGTGCCCAGCAATAATATAGTTACCTACTAAACAGTACTTACCAACCTACTACTGCCTTACATTACAGTATCGTACCTATTAGGTTCAAGATAAAACCTAAAAACAACCCAATTTTATTAGAATTCCTACCCCAGTCTTCTATTTAGACAATAAATGGTTTACAGTTACAGAAATCAATGTTTTTTCCGCCAACAAAATGCCCAATAGTATTATCGAGCGACCCGCTCCGGTTCGCACGGGTATAAATTATACACATGGAGGAGGAATGTTTCCTTGTGAATCGACAGTCTATCTATAAGTAAGTGAACAAATAGGCTGGCGACGGACGCCAGAATTTATGTAAGCATACCTAATATGGATACTGTTATTTTAAACTAGCTTTTGCCCGCTGCTTCGCCTGTAAGAATCTGTCTGTCATAGAAAGACTATCGTGTCAGTGATTCTCCTTAAGTGATAAAAATTATCCTGTTTTCCTAGGTCTCAAAAAAATTCTATCTTCAATGGTAAAAGATAGACAAGAGTTACTTTCGCATTTTTAATATTAGTATGGATTCCTAAAGGTTGAAGCGAATCATGTTGCTACCACACAGGACTGAAATACAGAACCACTCCATCTTGAATTTGGGCTAATTCAGTTGCGCACCAGAGCTTCGTGCGAACCCGACACTAAGCGTAGCTCATACAGGGAGACGTCTTGTCAGTCGCAATTAGGTACATCTCCACCTATGCACATAGATGCCACAATTTAATTAGGTAAATAGACGTTCATTTCATTGTCGAGGCGAGGTAAATCCCATTAAAGTACATAGGTGAATGACGTCTACGGACGTACCAACTGATCCTCCAGGATTTGTAGTCACCCGCTTCGGTTTGGTAAGTCAACACTAGCCACTGGGTTATTGAAAAAACGATCTCTCTGACGAAATTAAAAATCATATTGCGAGGGCAATGAATTTTCCAAGAAATGAGACTTGCTAAATCGATTTCTAGCCCCCGTAAACTCGTTAATGTAATTGTCAGAACCGTTTTCAAGAACGCGATTAATAACAAATATTAACTCGTATTCGTATAGTAAAAGCAACGGATGACGAAATGAACACACAGCGCTGACTGGACAAAGCTATTCTATCTTGAAATTGGGGTGATTCGGACTCGCACTGGATCGCGGAGTAGGAAGCCAGTCGGACGTCGGGCGTAGGGCGCCAGTGCATCGCCGGCATTAGCCACAGTTCATAAAGCGCTGCAGCGCCGGTGCCGGCTGACGCGCAGCGACCGGCCGCAATTCCGAATCGAGCATTACCGGTTCCGCTGTGACGACCTTTTGTTCCGACTGCCGTTCCGCGCCGGAACTAGCTTTTCCGAACCAAACTGCAAATGGATATAAATTCAAAACGCGCAGCGGCATTCAACCGCATCGCCTCACTTATCCGGAAATAATACTCATTCCAAAGTCTGTCCCTCTCATTAGTGGACATAAATGTAATTAATAAATTGTTCATTTCGAACGGATTCATTACCAACGTGCGTGTTAGTTGCTCTATTGAATTCCGCGTTCAAAATCGGCTTTGGGCAAACAATGTGCTGTGATTTGTTTGAGTTGCTCATTCATTTAGCTTCATCTACTAAATCTGCTGAAGCTTGTATCGGATTTGTGAATAGTGGCTGTAAACTGGCATTAGGTACATATACAGTGTGTNTATTTGGTATGGTAAAATTCCAATGAAATCTGTGGTGAGAGCTACCTATTTGCCTTTTCATGAAAAATTATGTAACAACATCAATTCCAAGACTCCTCAGCACTACCGCACAAGTCTATTACTGGCAGTCACACGCTGTGGTCAGAAGTGGCGAAGGTTAGTTCAAAGTAAATGACAAAAGCAGGATATCTCGTGCCCGGCGACTGCGGTCGGCGGCAACTGGACGGCGGACGCATCTCTAAGTACTTTGTCGCTCCAACGCTGAGAGTCAAGTGTACAATCGCTAGTTATGACCGCAACTAGTGGCCTTTTGAATGTGAACAATCTATTTGAATATTAGGTAGAAAGGAAAATTCAATAGATTGTTATTGTTACCAATGTTTTCGTAGCTCAGTTACCATTTTGTCGGATTTGTGGCAGGTTGTGAACTAATAGCTTAAAGTTACGAGCAAGTCACAAGCAGTCTCAAAAATGTTGATGACGCCTCGGCTACGTCGCGCACCAGTTGCGTCAATTTCACGTCACACGCTGTAATAGGTACCTAAATTATAAAATAGACGCGCCGCCGCGCCTCACGCGGCCATAGCGCGCCGAGCTACTAGGCCCAGTGGCCAACGTGTCACACGTTATAATAGTTACCTAAATTCTAAAGTAGAGGCGCCGTGATCGGCGAACAGCACCACAGGCGGCGTATATCGCTCGTTGGCGCCGCACAGGCGAGTTTCGGCCGCGCCCGCCGCGCCTCGCAAGGCCGTAGCGCGCCCAGCTAGATCCAGCTTCCATCGTATTACACGCTGTAATAGTTACCTAAATTCTAAAGTAGAGGCGCCGTGATCGGCGAACAGCACCACAGGCGGCGTATATCGCTCGTTGGCGCCGCACAGGCGAGTTTCGGCCGCGCCCGCCGCGCCTCGCACGGCCGTAGCGCGCCCAGCTAGATCCAGCTTCCATCGTATTACACGCTGTAATAGTTACCTAAATTCTAAAGTAGAGGCGCCGTGATCGGCGAACAGCACCACAGGCGGCGTATATCGCTCGTTGGCGCCGCACAGGCGAGTTTCGGCCGCGCCCGCCGCGCCTCGCACGGCCGTAGCGCGCCCAGCTAGATCCAGCTTCCATCGTATTACACGCTGTAATAGTTACCTAAATTCTAAAGTAGAGGCGCCGTGATCGGCGAACAGCACCACAGGCGGCGTATATCGCTCGTTGGCGCCGCACAGGCGAGTTTCGGCCGCGCCCGCCGCGCCTCGCACGGCCGTAGCGCGCCCAGCTAGATCCAGCTTCCATCGTATTACACGCTGTAATAGTTACCTAAATTCTAAAGTAGAGGCGCCGTGATCGGCGAACAGCACCACAGGCGGCGTATATCGCTCGTTGGCGCCGCACAGGCGAGTTTCGGCCGCGCCCGCCGCGCCTCGCACGGCCGTAGCGCGCCCAGCTAGATCCAGCTTCCATCGTATTACACGCTGTAATAGTTACCTAAATTCTAAAGTAGAGGCGCCGTGATCGGCGAACAGCACCACAGGCGGCGTATATCGCTCGTTGGCGCCGCACAGGCGAGTTTCGGCCGCGCCCGCCGCGCCTCGCACGGCCGTAGCGCCGCCTAGCTGGATCCAGCCGCCAACGCAGCTAAATAAAAACATATTTTTTAACATGAGGACACAAATAAGCTTAGTAGGAAACAAAAAAAGTGTGCAGGACATCAAATTATATATTTTGTTGTAAGATTGCACCTATTATAAATGCAGAACCTACAGTGTTATAGTAATCACCAATCTAACAATCCAAAATGTACTTGTATTTTTATAAAGGCAGAGATGAGAAGATCAGGGAAAAGACTAACAATATTTTGCTGAAATTCTTCTCAGAATATTTTATGTAAGGTAATTTTTTAAGTGTTTCGTATATTTATCCTTGAATCTATAAATGGCCTCTGAAAGTGATATCATAATTACTTCCTTATTTTATATGTATTTTTTCGCTTTATATTGCCGGTGTATTTATATTTTTTTATTAATTACCTTCAATTAACTTCTATAACATGATATTAAAATACCTGCCAATTTACTTTACTGACTTTTCCCTATAAATTCCTTTTCAAAGAGAAAAAGTATATTCTCCTCACTGAACTAAAGTTCGTAGCTGTAAATCATGAATGAAATACTACGAACATGTTCATGGCATATGCTACAGCGCTACGAAGAACGTAGAAAGTCAACAATCGTAGCATCTGTCGTTTCGTAGCAACCGAACATGCTAAAAGAAAATGACAACCCTACGTATTTTTGTATCATCTCTGATATTAATATATAATAATAATAATATACTTTACTATAGTTATATTTAGGTATAATAACGGCCGTGCGGTCTCGCCTGGAGGCAGGGCGCTCGAAATATTCAATTTGACGGGACATTGATCATAGCTGTCTGTGTGTGACAACCTCGGACCCATCACGCCCGATTCTTTTCTTCCAATTCAATCAATTGCAACCCTTCAAATAAGCCAGCTTCTGAAACTCGACTTTATTATTTGGAAACCTATTATTTGTGGAGAGGGTATTTTAACAAATAACAAGATGATACTTGTACGTTATTTTCTAGCCCGTGGCATCGAAGTTGTGGCTGTCCGAATGGTTTATTCCTTGAACATGATACGGTAATTTTGGGTCTTGAACTGGCATCTCACATAGTTAGCATTCGACATCCCAAGTTGTTGATAGCAGCTGGTTGCGAATGTAGTTGAAGTTTTGAGACTAGTGTAACGTTTGGAGGACAATGAAGCGTTTATTCAGTTACATTTAATTTTGGGTACCTGCTTTAATGGCTTAAACCAGACTGTTTGTTGTTAGTCATAGAACAATCAGGGTTTTATAGAAATAGTATAATATTAGTATAGTTAGACTACTCATAAATAAGGCTTTAATAAAACATAACATTTATTTTAGTTTGTTTTAAATTGCCGTAACTTCTACTTGCAAAGTGCATAATATCTTCCCAGTGGTATACACATTGTAATGGTAAGCAAAATATAATTATATTCAAACAGCAGTACTGAAATTCTGAATGCGTAATGAGAGTCGTGTCTGAGGCATCTCTGAAAGCAATGCACTTTTTGACAATACGCAACCTCAGCGCTAGTCACCCGCACTCTGACTATTGCAATGGTGCAATTATATGCATTTTAAAAAGTTTTATTCTTGATTCAAACAGCATTAAATGGTACCTAACTGGTTTTGAATACCGGTTTTATGGTCTTTGAAGCTTCATTTGGTAATGAAATATGCGTCTTAGTGAAAATGCTGCATTTTGAGAAATAAATAATGCGTTAGTAGTAATTTTAATAAAAGACTAAGTAAAACACGAGAATAGTGCACAATTAACCCATAACTACCTAAGTGGTATAATGAGGCCAGCTAACAATTTACTTCTATTGTCTCGATTCGCTGGCAATTGAAAGATTAATATCTGTTGATGTAAGACCGAATACACACCGCAGGTAGATTTCTGGCAAATAAACCGATCGCGATGTCTTAGTTATATAATCTTACATCTCCCTTAGGGCGTGTCGAGTTTCTGTTTTCGTTCCTAAAATTTTTACAAAGCGTGTAACCTCCGATGTGTCCTTGACCTATTTTATGGTTACAATCATGTGCCAAGAGTTTTAAATTGTCGATTATTGATAGTTTTCCGTGATTTAATATTTAAATACCCCAGTGAAATTGTGAACAAAAACTTAGCAAGCTAAAATGAATGTCCAAGTAATCGTAGTTTGACACAAGCCAAAGTATTACAGAACCGATGGAAAGTAGAGTAAAAAAGTTCTCAACTGAAGATCATATCGACAAATATTATAGAGCAGAACAGGGGTAGTAATTAGTCTTGTAGTGGATGATCATTCGCTTATATGTTAATTTTTAATTTAAATTAGTCAAAAAAGAGGTATAAAGCGTTCACTTACCTACTGCCATTGAACCTCCCAACAGAGACCAGCCGGTAGAGCTGTATCTCTACCCGCTGGCCGGCGTCAGGTTGGAGGAAGTACGAGCAGGCGCCAGGGCCCTCTATCGACGGCGACTTGATCTGCCCGAACGTCTTCCCTGACTTGGTCTTGAGGACGCGCGAGTCGATGGTTATGTTGCACACTAGGACAAGAACAAAGTATCAATAACAAATGACAATCATAATATTCTTACTGTTTATTAACCTGATTTAGGCCCGATTTGACCAAAATTTTATCTGAGATTAACTGGTATAACTGACATTGACAGTTTCAGTATGGGAAATATGTCAAAATCTCAAATAACTGACGATTTATTCTGAGATTACTCTTGTTTGGTCGAATCCATCCTTAATGATAATAAATAACCTTGGATATTTATACACTGTCTAGTCCCGATCTAAGCAAAACTTGTCCTATGGGTACCTAACTAGACAACGTATATAGCGCTCGTAGGCAACGTTTTGGTGCTAAGAACAATGATGAATATCTCAGGAATTTGCGTACATAGAACAGGTTGGTAAATATTAGTTACTTTAGACATCAACAAACATTACAAAACGATATTACTTAATTATTAAATTATTTATTTCGTTGCAATTTCACATCAATAAAGAAACAATTGACAAGCTGCCTTCATCAATCCATAAGCTAGAGTTTAGCTAATTGACTGAACTATTTTACAAACGCTTCTCAAGCGTCACTTTGTGTATCAATAAAACTTGATTGGAGTGCTACAAGTTGTCAACTAAAACGATTGAGACGGGAAAGCAAGCTTGGTTGGTATTTAAAAATGAAACTCTTTGACTAGATTCCCAGCACCAGTTCAGGCGTCGAGCATTTTAAAATTGCGAAGTCATGGAATAACAATACCCAGCCATGGAACAAATACCGTAGAGAGGAAATCGCATGTATTTTGTTTGAAAAGAATTCCATCAAAAATGCGCTGAATGCTATAGCTACTCTTCACAACTTATTGATCGAAAATAATTATAATTATATAGGTTCCGCTAATCGAGACAAAAATATTCACACCGTTTTTTTGCACGAGACTGGTTAACACTGCCTATAAGGGTAACGAAAACATCCCAGTACTTATCTTCTATGTACATAAAAGAACCCAATCATTTGTGTCCTCATTTCTGATTCAATCTCATTGTCTACACAAAGAATAAACTTTATAATTAAAGCGAAACGTGACCGAGCAAACCGTGAAAAATTGCGGTTAAAATTTAGCTGGACAAGTGAAATCGTTCTAAAGGTTTGATGTTGGCTAAGGGTTAATAATGGACCGTTATTCAAGGAAAAGGTAAACATTGTTTGGGTCTCAATACCCGAGGGTTTTGCGGGAACCTACCAACATCCAGACCGTTCTCAAATTGTCTACCATTGTTTGCGCTAATAATCGCAACATTAAATATAATCTTTAATCGTCCTCGTGCGAGTTTTGATTGTCCTTATCTTAACCCACTACTGGGAAGGAGAGCGTTCATTTTCGTGGTACAAAACTGATATTTAACTATCATGTTGTTGGGTTTAACAATATTTTTATTATGCGATTAGACTGGCTATTGAGTTGTTATTGTCCGCTCAAATTCAGCGGAATTGATAAAGTGGTTACGTAATGCTGACCTTGTTATGACGCTTGTTTTTATTATCATTGACACCGAAAAATATCAGCCGCTGGTTTCCACAGCTTTATATTTAACTTTTCGCTTACGCCGAACCGACAAGTCGTTGCCTCTGGCTCTTTGTAGTAGCGGATTATTACTATGTTACACGTGGCGGGTTTTTATTACCACAATTATACAAAGTAACACAGTAAATCTATAGTGTATTTGGTTGCTACGAGGCAGACCATAGGCAACGAGATAGACTTTACAGAGGTTCTGTTGGCGTCATGTCGCCGCACACAGCAGCATTTGGGGCTAAATAGCGAAGTATGTTATGTTCAATATGTTTATTTACCTACTGGCCCGTACTACTCGACGCCGCACTATGTGAAAACTCACATAGGTCCCGTTGCGCACAGCAGTTTGGGGCTAAATGGCTCAGTGTGAAATATCCAAGGATATTTATTCATCATCATCGTCATCATCTCAGCCATAGGACGTCCACTACGGAACATAGGGCTCCCCAATGCTTTCCATGTTGCCCGGTTGGTAGCGGCCTGCGTCCAGCGCCTTCCTGCTACCTTTATGATATTTATTAAGGATCTTTTTTTATCCACAACGAGGAAGCTCTTGGCCTGTATCTCACCTGATGGTAAGTGACGATCAGGCCTAAGGTGGAAACGAGCTTCACCCGGAATCCTCAACCACGGAGGAACTGGCTATCTTACCTCTAACTGCCGGAACACAACAATTCTGTCAACATTGTTATGGCGACAGACTTAGGTAAGATGGTGGTAGCTATAGCCAGGCGGACTTAGAAAAAGCCCTACCACCAACCAAACCAAACAGAAAAATCTGCCCCCACTGGGAATCAAACCCGGGACCTCTGCGTCTGAAGCAGGTGGTCTTACCACTAGACCACAGAGGCGGTTAAATAATCTATTATTACTTACTGTTGGCGCAGTACTGCTCGAGGCCGCACTGCGCGCAGCGCGCAGGCGCTACGTCGCCGCAAGGGCAGGCGCCGTCGCGCACGCAGCACGCGCACTCGTCCCCGCCGCCATTCGCGCACGCGCATCCCGACGACGCTTGCGTCCATAGGTCCACTTGACCTGGTAGACGATAGGAAAATGGTTATAAATGGAGATAATAAATACCAACAAAATCACACAAAGGTTCGTCGATATTTATTTATATATTTATTAGGTATATACTACAGTTGACAATCGAGTTTTGTTAGTAGATACTTAAGTACACATGGTTAGAGTTAAGAGCTCTAGATTGACAACCTAATTGTATACACACAGCATGATGAATAGCGACACAGATATAAAAATAGAAAAAATAAACACATGATTACTTAACTCTCTTTAGTTAAGTCTTAACTAAAGGGCTGCCGTTAGGGCATGAATATCGGAATCTCGGAATCTCGTAATATCGGAATCTCGGACTGCGAGATCCGATATTTCAATTCCGATATTGAGCGACCCAATATCGTAATATCGGAATCAGATAAAAGTTTTAATTGAGATTTTAAACAAAGCGTTTAACCTCGCCACAACCTGCCACAAAGCCCAAAGTACATGATAGGCAAAGACCAATCATTTTCTCATGTCTCTCACCATCACTTTTTGTTCCACTGCAAATATTTTAATATCTTTACTATTATATGGTTAATTTAACTTGTTCTAAATCAATTTAAGCATTTGCCATAGGTGCTTGGTCAACAAAGAACGACATCTCCACTCTCTTTCAAACATAAATTTTACTGGACTATGGACCGTCAGTTCTGCGTACTATGTGTCCTGCCATTGCTACTTCAGCTTGCTAATCCGTCGGGCTATGTCAGCGACCTTAGTTAGTTTACGGAGCTCCTCATTTCTGATTAGATCTCGTAAAGAAACACCAAGCTTATCCCTCTCCATAGCACGTTGTTCCCTATATTCAAATGTCACATTTTCAAGCCGTATAATATCATCACTGGTCTGGTAACACACACTAATTGAAGACTTTATTCCGTTTTTTACATATTCATCCGAAGGCCTACCTCTTTCTCGAAATTGCATCTAACTACCTAGCTGATCGTTTATCCGAGATAGACATACTTACTTGTCAACAATCTCGAGAATCGAGCTCCTAACCGAAACTGGGTAAGGAGCAACATGGACATTCGAGATAAGCTTCGTTTTTTCCATATTCATCCGAAGGCCTACCTGTTGGGAAACTCGATTAAGGTCTTCGAGCATTGTGATAAGGTTTTCCAACGGTTCTGCCTTAGTACGCAAAACAAACGGACGATGAGGCAGCAAGGTTCTGAAGTGGAGGCCACGTACCGGAAAGCGCAGCGTAGGATTCATAACCACAAGGTGGACCGACGACCTCATAAAGGTAGCAGGAAGGCGCTGGATGCAGGCCGCCACCAACCGGCCATTGTGAAAATCAGCATCGGAGCCTGTGTTCAGCAGTGGACGTCCTATGGCTGACATATGGCTGGCTAGTGGTTTTGCGAGTGTACATCGATAATCAAAAAGCAACAAATTACAAGCATATTCAAGTTTTTTACCACTCTCTACAATTTTTGTAACACGTGATTTGAATGACTCTTAAAATTCGTTCCGCCAACATAAAACAGGGTAATATAATGAAGGAGTAAAAGTTTGTTTGATACCTGTGATTTTACAAAAACACTTTAATGGGCTAGTTTCCTAAAAAAATTTTTTTACTCCGTCATGTTTAATATCAAAAAATATTGTACACATATATTTTTATTTGTCAATCTAACAAATAATTACATAGTTATGGTGCGTTAAATTTCCGCACGACGTCACAACGTGCGGCACTTTTATGCACGCATTGACGTCACGGGCCTCTTCTTATGAACTTTGGCGCGCTTGATCTCTTTAAATTTTCATTAGTTTGAAAAAGTGAAAAATACGTGTAGAGTATTTTTTGATAAGTTAACTGACGGACTAATTAAAACTCTTGCTTTTTGACCCAGGAAACATCCCTATTATATGCTAGTCCATATAGGTTCATTATCAGTAACCATTCATTATCAGGTGATCCGTCTGCTCGTTTGCCTCTTGTCACATAAAAAACCAAATGCAATGGATACCCATAACGTAAAAATGGTTTTAAAATACTTCAATTTTATGAAGTGCTGTTTTGTACCAAATTGAATATTTTGATTAAAATCATTACTTTACTGTAAACAATCCAGAATTCTTACGAATATAACCAAATATTAATTTTATAGCACATAAACTCAATTCCGATATTAATATCGGAATTCCGATATTGAGATCTAATATCGGAATCCAATATCGGAATTGAAAACCTTCCGATATTACATGCCCTAGCTGCCGTATTTGCGTCACTAGTTGGCAAGTGATAGGCTCTTTCAATAGCGCTATCATGGTGCTACTCTCACTCCTTCAGCACTCATCAGTTTGCTACTGTTGTAGCCCAAGCGAGTGACAAGAGCTTTCCCTATAGCGGCATTTTGTGGCGCCAACTTGTGAGCGCAAGGTAGCCCTGATACTTTAGATTGATTCTGTGGCAGCTGTTGGGTATCTGGTAGCATTTGAAGTTTCTGACAGAGAGATACTTGTCTACTCAATAACAATAAATGAGGGATAATACAAAAACTCACTGCTCCCGTCCAAGAAAATCGGCGTCCAAGCGATCTGCGCAGAGGCAGCTGAAAACGCGGCGAGCAGCAACAGCGCTAACGCGTGCCGCATCGTGCGCGCGAGTCACCGCGCCAGACGCCCCGTACGACGCCCCAGCCAACGCCCCGACCACCGCCGCCTTCTCATTTGCCCCGACGCCCACTCATCAACACCCCACCCGATACATCCACCCCTTTCAACGCACCCTCAGCGAGCTAACAACAGGTAACCCCTTTCGCATGATTGCGCGAAATAGTTCAAGCGCTTATTGAGATGCCCGAATTCTTAAAGAGGTGTCTTGGATTGGCCGTGTTATCCAAAGGACGTGGCACCTGCAACAAAAAAATCTTTTAAACTTATGGTTAATTAAAGGCTAACTACTTCTATCTACTTAAGTTTTTAACATAATTTTATGAATTGAATAAGATTTTCACTTACGTAGATCTTCTGTGTAAAAGTGCACATAATTAAACTATCTTACACTGTTCCTAAAATGATTATTACCTATACCCTACCTACTTCGTTTATCCTAAGCTTTGCAGATATATATATTTTACCTACTTTTCTGACGCGTTCTTGGCGTAATTACAAGAATATTTTAGATAATAACAAATAATAAATAAAATAAAATAAAACAAAAAAATAATTAAATACAAACTTTAATAACACAGCCGCCAAATTGTTTAGGCACAGACAATCACAAAAGATTTCGATCAACAAAACCATCAACAATAATAACAACAGGATGGCCGATTCCAGGTAGAATCGACCACCCGGGCATGCACACAATCGGTGTACTGGCACTGTGGACTAGAGACGCAGGGGTGACACGCGGGGCACGGGTGATGGTGGTGGTGGCTTGGCACTAGCGAGCAGCAGCTGGACATGGGCTTCTTTCTTTCGAAGTGAAAACAACAGTTACCCTGCGCGTAAAAAAACAAAATTAAAAAAATATCTAAAATACACCCTTCACCAAAACTTTACCCGACTCGACAGAAATCTAAACTTCGTTAAGACAAACGCAATGGCCACTCGCAAACTTCGCGAAAATCGCTCTACGACGAAACAGCTATCTCGTTATTTGCATAAGCAGATAAGTTTTCAAGTCGAGTCTCGTAAATAAATTAACTTCCAGGTAAAAAAACTGAAATCGCGAGCCAGAATCCCTGTCCAAAACTTGGGTGTTTCGTGTAATAAACACGCTTTCTGTTAATTACTCAGCGTAAAGTGTGCGAGGGGGATAAGAACTTTAGATTTCCGGCTTTCCATCTACCCTCCATATTGTTTAGGGGAGATCTAAGATTTCTCACTTTACGAAGAATGAACGCCTACTGGGGAAATGGAACGTCCGAAGTAGCGTGTTGATTGATTTACTACGATCAAAACATGGATAAACAATTTTGTGACGAAACGATTTGGGTTAAATTAAAGTGTTCGTGCTAAGCAAAATATTTAACGAGTTAGGGACGGAGTAGTGGCGAAACTTTGTGTGCGGATGGCCGTGCAAGCCTGCGGGATTATAGGGCCCAATCACACGAGCCCCAGTCGGAAATAAATCCCCATCTGAACCCTCGCCGCGTTCAGCGAATAAACATTGCGGTCCAGGAAGCACGATCGATGTTAAAAACATACCCAGCAACCGGCCCCCGAATAACATCTAATCTTACGTAATTTGCTCGCAAACGAGTGGTGAGATTCAATTAAAATTCTAATTCACCAGATAACTCGATTCCTAAACACTTTCATTTTGTTTGTGGATCCAAGAGCGTCACTTGGAAGCATTTCCTATTTAAATTAAGCTAAGACAAGTAAGGTTTCGAAAATCAATTAGATAACAATGACTGGCATTCGTATTTTGTCACTGGTTTTTGCGAATACGTTTTATAAAACTGGAAACGACTAAATATCAAAAAGGGAACCGATCTCTAGATAAGCTTCTTAATATCGAGGCATCCAATTTGCATGGTATCAAAGTTTTTCCGAATAAGATGGATTAATTTTTATGTCAGAGGTGAAATTCATTTTTCTAGTTCAGAACTGGATTCTTAATGAAATTCAATTTCTCCTGGGCGCCAGTGACGACGTTTATTCGGCTTTTTGCTTTGGTTTCTGAAAGGATATTGCGTGGGAATCAATTCAGGTGGCGGTTTTCCAACCTCAAACTGAATATTAATTTTTCATAAAATACCGCTGGGACCAATCGAAATTAAATGAACATTTCCTCGATGGAGAAAATCGTTATGACAGGTTTCGGGCGTCAACAATTTACGTTCACCTTGAGATAAAATTTTGAATTATTAACTAAAGTTATTACTTTCTGAAATAAGAAACTTTGACGAGACGTCATTTTAACATGAGTAATTAAAGTAAAATGTCGTGTGTTATTAGAAGTAGTAATCGCTTACAACAACTTAGTAAGAAGATATTATTATTACAATATTTTGTTGGAAATGTTGTCTGTGTAAAAAGAAATTATATTGAGATGACAGACATTCTCGTGAAAAAGTGGCTGTGATAAGCATTTAAAAATTGTGTAAATGGTTCGGAAATCCCGACAGTTTCCACCTGGCAGCAATCAAAACATGTTAAACTATTTGCATTTCGAAAAAAAGCACATTATTATAGCGCTTCATGGTTCCAGTCCTTGAGCATGAAATACCAGCACATCTTCACTGCTCCATTCGACCCTTATGTCGGTGCTATAGGCAGTTAAAGGATTCCCAGTCTTACAAATACACGAAGTAGAACCAAAACTAACTGTAGGAGATAAACTAACTGTGAGATACCCGTTCATCTTCACAGTGGTAGCGCTGCTCCACGTTGTAGGGGTCGGCGCTGTAGGTGGACAGCACGAAGGGCTTGCGGCGCTGGCGCGCTCCGACCGCGACCTCGCAGGCGCGCCGCATCAGCAACGTCGGCTGGTTAGTCTGGAACAAAAGAAAAAGACGTTAATCCAAAGCTAATTAAATTGAAGGTTATTTTGCTATGAAAATGGGGACCTAATGTTAGATCTAAAAACTGTACCAGAATAAAAGAGTATTACCACGAAGTATCTTGCTAGCTTACTAACACAACTTACTATCAAAACTACCCCGGATATGAAAACATACTAGTTTATTTATGGCAAGGGTCTTTTTCTTACAAACAAAAATTGCATTATACATACACGAAATTTCCATCTTGACAAATCCAAACATTAGTTTGACCCTTTCGCACATTGTACTGCTGAAAATCCGCTTACGTGGGCAAACCCGTTTATTTCGGCGCCTTCATTCCTCGAGGCGCAATGACTCACATGTCAAAACATTCGTTTCAACTCATTTCCTTAGGTCTAGCCCAGTGCACGCGAGAAAATGTTTCAATCGTCTAATATGTCTTCTAGCGACACTTCTATTGGTTTCTTTTTCAGTAAGCCGCAGCCTAGCACAGGCTTAGCTTGGCATGGGGGCACTTTTGCGGGATCCGCTACTTTGACTGGGTTGGTACAAATGTCGCACTCAATGGACACATCGCGCGGGTGTCTGACGAGGAAATTCGTAGTGCCCAATAGCTTCGAGTGTTCCTGGTCCTGCATCCCATTGCGTTTGAAAGCAGTCACTGGCAATGTTTTCACCTGCAATCGACCAGACAGTTGCAGTTAATTCAATTTCACTCGTCAGACAACTTAAAAAAGATCCGAATGTGTATAATTATATCAAAAATCTTATTTAATATGTCGCCTTTCAAGCCCAAACTAACAATATTAATGCATTTACCACGAGAGCAGGCAGACATCACTTCTTAGTAACTAAGACGGGAAGTTTCTTCATTGGTTTGACTGGTATTGTTATAGGACAGTAGCTCCATATCGCTTCGCGCCAGGACTTGCGAATGTATGAAATACCACCGCTCTCTATAAACTTTTGGTCTTGAAGTCCATTTCGCTTAAGTGCAGAAGATGGCAGTGGATTTACCTGGCGGGCATTGAAATTGTCGCCTTACTTATATCAAGACTAATCACGCGACAACGTAAACAAATAGATTTTTTGGGATTCTATTTTCACTTCTTATCCTTTTTCCTTTTAACAGGCAGGACTTCTTGTGTGACTTTAGGAAATAGTCTCTTGATTGGTTCGACTGCGGTGTAAACACAACAGCCTCTCGGGCCCTCTCCTGCACATAAGTATCGGATCGCCCCTCTATACCCATGAATTTGATCCTGAATTCCGTTCCGTTGGTACGCTGTCATGGGAAGCCTACCGTGACGTGTCGGAACGTACTGTTCCTGAAACCAACAACATTATGCTTAAAATTTCGCTATTGGTTTCAGGAAATAGGAGAAAGGTTTCAATGGGTCACAGTGTAGCCTTTCTACTTTAACATTTTCGTACGCAAACGCAAAACAAAAGACGTGGCAAGGGGTACACTGTGACCAAGGCTTTCAAATAAAAAATAAATTGCAAAAGGACTTACAATACGTCCATCTTCATATCGATAGCAAGGGATGACGTATTTTGTTTTCATTGGCCTGCAGCAGGTCGGGCAGCAGTTGGGAGGCGCTGCACAAGATGAGGACTGGCGAGGGGCGGGTGGTGGTCGGGAGCATTTCTGCCGCGGCGCTGGTGGCGGATCACAACAACCTTCGTCGCTCTCACAGCTCTGAGACTGTCTGGGTGGAGGCCGCTTCTCGCAACAATACACCATCTGCCCTTTAGGACATCGCGGCAAGCAAGGATAACACACTGGCGGGTCCTCGCAACACTTCGTCGGCAAACAAGGCGCTATCAGCATCGGCGTCACAGCATACTCTCCACAATCCTCTGGATAGCAGCAGGCCATGTTTTTCAAATCTTTTTATTTAATTTACTTTAAAATTTTATACCATAATATTTTTAATTTTCACAAAAAATTTTGGATGTTTTTCTGAAAATTTTATATCTATTAATGTCAAATTCAAATCGAATTCTTTTTGTTATTTTTATTTGTCTTATTTTATTTCTGGCCAATAGTCAATTTTTAAAGTAAGTAGGTGCTTACACTAAAAAGTTCTTGCTACACATTACGTTCTTATTCTGATCTTCAGGAATGCTTTTCCCGCAGGATTTTCCTGAGTGCTTGTTCCGCAATAAAAATACACAAGCACCAACCGCTTTTACATATTTTTGGCACTTTGACGCTTTTTGTCATACAGCGTAAAATCCCAAAGCAAAGCTTTCGAAAGCATTTGCAAACATTTGCAGGCGCCTCCTTGTCGCCAACGACTCGAAAATGCAATTTTCCCAATGCAAATCGAACGCCAGACAGATTTAATGCCTTTTACTTGCCGATTCCGTTCATCATTTCCGAAGAGAATTGAAGATAGTCAGCCACTAAGGCCATTGGGTATAATTTGATTCAAATCAACTCGTCAAAATGGATTTATGTTGCTAAAGGAACTTATGATATAACATATGGTATTCCATTGAAAAAAATATACAGTAAATTCACATATGAAATCAAAAACAACAAAATAAAACGAATGCTCACAATAACATAGAAATCTTTCTAGTACACTGTTCAAATTGCTTCACAATTCTTGTCTATGTTTACACGAGCCAACCATGAAAATGTACTCTAGTGCATTTTGTTTGTATTGATAAAATTTTGAAGGCAAACGTTTTGTCTCCAGCTTTAAAACGGCAAACTTAGACCGTTCGAATCACACTTTTATTCTTTACATTGCTACCATAATGTGTATTTCGCCAAGTGAAATGAGTTTTACTTTAGACGATTATTGTAGTGTACAAATAGAGGTATTATAGCGTTGTTATTAATACTGAAAACATTAATTCGGGCCAATAATTTACCATTTTAGTAAATCTTATATTAATTAGAATAACTATTTACTCAGATGAAATGCTTTAGAAATTGTACCAAATAACAAATATGTTTGTAATAACAACCGAGACCTAACATTACCTGAAAAAGGCGATTACTTCCAATCGACTTAACCCTTTCAAGGGTCCCTTGCGGTACACTCGTGTAAGATGTTTCCACTCTGCACACTTGAATAGAGCACGAGATATATATCTTTATTTATCTATCCTATGTCTGAGATAAATAAGGCCGTTGTGGGAGAGCGGAAATTATGTAAGACATGTCGTGTGAGTGACCATCTCGTTGATAAAAGCCTCCGCACGATGTTGCTGACTTGCGGAATAATTGTATGGATATTATATTAAATTGTCACCCCAAATGTTGGCTTTAGTTATATTATTTACGTGTAGCACGTGGCGCTCATCACATCGGCAATGTGGCATAGCACTTGATTTTTCGCCAGAACCTGAATCTTGAGTTTGTCTTGCGGTGCTCAAACGATGCACGGTGACGCGCGGTTATTTATTGTTTCCGTGAACAAAGCGTGCCGTTTTGTTTTGCGTGAAAATACCCAGTGTGCAACGTCTCTTGTAACAAAAACTTACAATTTAAATGTTTAACACACATAAGTCCCAAATTAATGGCAAAGACAGACACAATTCGCCATGGTAAATAAGGTGGAATTTTTACCTCAATATCAGACATGATAAGCCTGAGCTTATCATTACATTAGCAAATCTCATTTTACTTGCAAAATACATAAAACAAATATACGAAGAGTGGGTACTAACTAATGTAACAGTAGAAAAAGTAACCCGTTCCAATGAAAAAATGAAAAGCATAACTCGGTAAAGAGATAATAAATAAACCACAAAGCTACTGTCATCATTTATTTGCATAATAGCGCATCACCTTAAAGAGGTCTGTGAGAATCGAGCAAGAGGGCGTATTTATTTATTTATGATGGTACTTTTGTCAAAGAATGCTCGTGTTCATTCGAGTGATTTATGACCCATTCCACAAAGAGGGTTCATACATGCCTATTTATCGAGTCGTGATAAATTCTTTCCACTTGTATGCGACATAAAGAGAGCTGAATACAAAGAATCGGTCTATAACACACAATGCTGTCGTCCCTTGTAATTTTAATTTATTTTATGTTCAATTCATTGTTTGTAGAGTTATACAAATACACAATAATACGTGTAAAAGATATATTTACCAATTAACGTAAATCACTTCTTATTACTTAACTTTGAATGCTTTTGTTAATTATTTAATTAATTTTTAGTCTGCACTCTGTATTCATTTTAACTGTGGAAACTTTGCTGATTTCTGTCCTATTTTTTGTGTGATTATTTGTNAACGTTTCTTATTACTTAACTTTGAATGCTTTTGTTAATTATTTAATTAATTTTTAGTCTGCACTCTGTATTCATTTTAACTGTGGAAACTTTGCTGATTTCTGTCCTATTTTTTGTGTGATTATTTGTCTGTATATCAAAATTGTTTGTTTCCCTAATATAAATAAATAAATAAAATAAACTCTTCATAGTTTGTCATGTCAGAATATTTTACGGATATAGACTCTTGGAAGTCAGATTCTATTTCCAGATGTTGCACGTGTGGTCATTATTAAATTAATAAAAAGTACTTCTAACGAACAAAACAATCACAAAATACGTCGAAACGCTCTTAAATCTAAGTCAATGATTCGCATAACAATAGATACCTATTAAGTAGATGTTTTCTGCACGTGTTGTTTCAACCTTGTTATTTTACTGATAGCTAAGCATACCTTTATTAATTCAATCGGTATTATTAATGTTTTCCGCCCCACTTCCTAAAGGTTAAGATTTAAGAAAACTCAATAAATACACAGTCATTTTACGCTTCTTAATAGGTACCTGTGCTACGAGGAATTCAACTTTACGAAACAGAAGTTTTTGCGCGAAGGTAAAATGCGTAAAAGAGTCGGGGAAACTGTTTTCAATTAACTTTTCCTTAGCTGTCGACTTTTCGCGCTAAACTTTATACCAGAATTTAGCTTTGATGAAATTGTTTTGGTGTTTTCGATTTCGTGCTCTACTGATTGGTAATACCTATACTTAGTAGATAGGTATGTATTGTTGATTGGTAGGTGGAGCAATTCTTCGGTGGTCACAGCTGGCAAAATATGTGATGTCATTCTGCAAGATGTGCAGACGAAATTTACAGTATTGGTGGGTTGATGAGTGTAAAGTAGCATCTTGGTACAACAGACGCGATGGCAGGTTTAGAAAACATAACGATATTTTATGCAGTTGTAATTTAAAGTGTGATTTCGGAACAAAATGTGCTCTGTCGCCTGTACGAATGACTTTGATTGTATTTACGCAGTTAAATCTACGCTTAATATCGTGAGCATCGTGTGTAGGTGATGATGATGTTTAAGAATAAATCCTATTTTTTACAGAAACGTAACATAAAACCGCATGGGGTAAAATAATATTATTAGAAAAAAATATTCACTCCTAACGCTCCGGAAGAAGAGAAAATATAAGTTTACGATGGTACATCCAATAGATACGGGGGAAATATAAAATGTGATGGGCATGGAAAACGATACGGTATTGTAACGAGCGGCGTCATTTGTCAATAGGGGCAAGATTTAGTGTCCGCTTTATACCATCCGTGCCCGAAACGATCTCCCAGGGTCTCGGGACTACTCGTAATAACCTGAATAACCTGACACTTTTATACACGCCGTGGTTCGCAGCGCAGATATAACGAACTATTCAAAAGGAAATGACACCTCGGATTTTATGAAAGCGCCATATTTCCCGTCCGTCTTCAAGCGGCGCGGTCGACCGCTACAATTTTATTTGCAATTTTAGTCACTCGCCACAAAAAAGGATAACCAAAAATGCTCCAGTAATCACAATCGGAATATAATCGAATTGGGATAATAATCGGAAGGCCCGATTGTATAACCCAATATTCGGGAAAATAAAAATATTTTCATTACTGACCCGCAATCTGAATACAACAAAATGGGCCGCATTTAAATTTTGATAGGCCTTCCCTATCTGTGCATCAATAAAAGGGACTGTAAATGGAAGTGCTCTTGGCTTCATAAAGAGCTTTTCCCATTGTTTTAGGACAGTTAATCGAGTGGCCACTTCGTACTCTTTATTACATTTTTAATGCGTAAAAAAATTTTTATTGGCCGATTTTGGTAGGTATTATTGGTATAACGATAATGTTATTTTTTTTAAATTATGTATGATTAAGCAGTTTAATCACCTATTTAAACTGCCTGCCTGCAACCTGCTACTAGAGTAGCTCTCTACTAGGAAATTGTTAGGTAAGATATTTTACTTACGAGTCTTTGTTAGGTATTCAAATAAAATAATGTTCTTAATGCATTTTAATGGAACTGAAGATATTCATATCTCTCACAATTTCAGCAGTGTTAATGCTGCAAATTAATGTGCAACTGTATAATCGAGAAAGCGATCCAATCCAATCTGCAAACAATCCCTATAAAATAAAGTATTTTAAAGAAAAAATGTGATACCTATTCAACCATGAATCTTTCATAATGGAAAGAAACATTCGCTGTATTTCTTAAACATTTTATTAAGTGCTAAACTTCATCTCGGAGATAAAACATAAAAATAAAGGAGTGTACTTTTGTTTATTACTCGACATCTCGGGGGAAATCCGCGTGGAAATACAACAAGAAACTTAGCAACTAATTATGAAGCAAAAACTTGTTTTAGATTTGTTTTTTGTGAGTTAAAACTTTTCTCGAGTTTTGAGTTTTCTCGTAGTGTGACTGTGTGACACAGTTTTATAACAAGTTAACAGTAACTTGATGAATAACAATTTTCAAGTCCAACTTCAAACATCAAAATCTCAAATACCTAATACTGTGAGTAATATTATGTCTGCTATAGATATTCGACTAATATATTTCATGCTTTTAGAATAAGTAAATTAATTTTAAAGTTTGTATAGAAATTAGCATCTGGTGATTTTATACGATTATTAGAGCAAAATTGAAGT